CCCCCCCCCCCCCCCCCCCCCCCCCTATACTTTTTGATCAGTCCCTAAGAAGAGAAATAATATACTAGTGTTAATTGCTGGCCGGGGACTCGACTCTACCGTACAGGACAACCTCGTTCCCAGGGCTTTACCTCCCTCATTTTCTAAGGCAGAATCGTTGGAGACGAAAAAAGTTTCGTGTAAGAAAAAACTATACCCGTGGTCTTGAGTTACGAACCGAAGCCGGATGTCGAGGGCAATAAGACCGAGGGCATAGGCTTTTCCCTTTACGGACTGACTGACTCGCGTACAGAATTTTACTGAAGCCTTCGAAAATATAGTGTGTTAAATAGGTCATGCAGCTTGCAAATAGCAAATTAACTAATCCGCCGAGGCCGATAGTCCGAGATCTACACTCGGCAGTAATTCCTTAGGTCATATGAAAGCCAAATCCAATAATTGTTTTATTATTCATTCAAATATTTACAACTTAAAAACATTCCTTGATCTATGTAAGTTCTCGTCTTCTGCTTATTCTTGCTTTATTTATCTGTTGGGAGTATTTTCGCTATTCTTGCAATGTTCTTACGCAGACGTTCAGCTATGTTCTCCTCGCATCTTGTGAAATCTTCTGCCATTTTATCTGCCTCTGCCAAAACAGCTGAGCTACCGCTCCTACAGATGTCCCTTTTACTGTCAATATCTGTACAACTGTGGCCAATTGTAATGACATCACCTTCCAAATTTGGTCAACGGTGGCTGGTTATGAAGAACAATTAGCCGAAGGCAATTTAGCCTATCAGAAACGGAGAAATCGTTTGAATGAATTACAACTACTTACTCGATGGCGAGGAAATATCATTTTCGACTGACAAGAACAATATCTCACTTTCTCGCTGCACTCACCCGTGAGATACTATCCTTGCTTAGAGAACATAAAATTCATACCCCCGAGCTAACGTGTGATTTTCTTTTTTATTGTATCAACAATAAACACACATGGTAGAGATCAGAATGAAAAGTTGACTTTAATACTAATACTGGCCATTCTAGCTAATACAACAATACAGTATACCCGGTGCCCATAGGTGGTCGATTGCCAAATTTCGGGTGAACTGGTTGTTTATAATTATAAAGAGAACTCTTTTACCACCTGACTGAATAAAATCATGCGCGGGATTATTTTCAATCTCTTTTAAATACGTACGAACGTGTGAGGGCCACGCATTTTTAAGCGCAATCAAGGTAAACTTGCAAATTTACCTTTCAGATTTGGTAGTTATGCAAAAACGTTCTGTAGATCTCTCGAATTTAAAGCAAGCCTCGTCAGTTGAGGTTTCTGTCCTATCTTGCCATAAAATAACAATAAACTTTATTTAAGTGTCAGGATATTTAGCTTACAAGTTAATTGTGGACATAAAAGACGGACTACAATACATATCTACTTTATTTTCTCTTGATATCTATTGTTTATCTCATAGTTAAATAGAGCATAGTTTATTACGGCACAGCTCTCTTGGAAAGCAGACCTATTTCTACCTATTTCTTCTCCATTCACATTATATACAAAGTGGCCATTTTATTCCTTTTGTGATATTATATTATTTCCAAACTACTTGGTGAGAGCCAAGGAACACCCTATGTTTGATTTCCTCTCCTTTATATCTCCAGTCCCCTTCTTAAAATTCTTGCTGAGCCCAACCCTGTTCATTCCTGGATCATTTTCACGAAGCCTCCCACTTCAATA